AATCCCAGGTTCTATAGATCCACCGTGTACTTTCCAGACCATTACAGAGAAGAACCAGCTTGCCGTGCTCAGGTGCTCCTGCTGCGTTTTCTCCGTGCTCTTTTAAAGTTTATCCCAATAAGCATGGCATGGCATCCCGTGCTCTTGGAGTTGGAGGTACTGGAGCTGGAGTGCCGCTCGATGAGGCCCGTTCTTCGTCCGCTCGCGGTCCATGATATGGTATGGCTCTCTGAGCCGGCTCTGACACGGCGCTTTCAACGTTGTCTTTACAAGAGCTATATTGGAATTCACAACATATCGTAACTCTTCCTGCGCGGGGCGAGAAAAAAAAGGGGCGTGGCGTGTTGCTCTTGAAGCGAGCGATAGGTGAAGCACAGCTGGGGATACGCGGATGAAAACCGTGGCACCCGGAATGTAAATCAGTTGCATACATCATCTTTCTCGTGAGTGTAGTATAAAAATCACGGAAGACGTATAGTATAAAGAAAAAAAAAGGAGGACGCGGAAGCCATACATTCTTCGAACCTGACGTCTGAAAGTAGAGAATAAATAAATTCGCGGTCGCTTGCCATTTTTATTTCTTTCTCCCTTCTCACTCGCGCATCCATTTCACCTCGTCTTCGCCCCATGGACTGCAGCCCCTCCGCCATGCCGGTGCTACGGGTGGCTTCACTGCGGTGGTGGCGGAGCGGGGCGGGGTGGGTCCCCCGTATAGGACCCGACCGGGTATCAAGCCCTGCCTGACTCGCCGCGCGCCGCCGCGCACCCGCCTCAGTACCGCGGCTCAAAAGATCGCAGGGCTGAATAATGCCTCATGCCTCTGCCCGAGCGGAGGGCCGTGCTGGCGGAGCACGTCCCCTACGCCCCCCTCCCCCCATCCTCCCAAACCTGCACGTTCCTCCGCCCGCCCGGGCGCTCTCTTGTTCACCAGCAGAGCGACGTACATGCGCCACATTGTCGCCGGGCCGACAACGGTGGCGTGACCGGACTGGGCGGGCGTTTGCTGCTGCGCTAAAAGGCGGCGCGTAATGGCGGTTTTGAAATGTCGCGCCCGCCCCCGCCGGGGCCCGCCCGGCCCGGCCCGCCACCCCCGCGCCACGCCGCCGTGCCGAGGCGCGAGCTAAATGCCCCCCAGAGGGCCCCATTGTGGCCGGGTGGGGCGCTGCGCGGAGGGGAGGGACCTGCTCACCCATAACCCAGCGAAACGGGGGCGGCGGCGGCGGCGGGCTGCGTCAAGCGGAACTGAGTGCGCGTTGCGCGTTCGGAAAAAACCTCTGCCCTTTCATACCGGCACTACCACATCCTCCACACCGCCGCGAACACGCTCGAAGAGAAAACGGGAGGGATCACATGTGAACGCGACCACCTCGGCCACACCTGCGCCGTCCGGACCCGCACGGCACGTACACCGCTGGGTACAGCGCCCGTAAGAGCACGCGGGCAGGGGGAGGAAGGACGCCCGGGTCGAAAGAGTTGCCTATCTCCAAGGCGGCACACGGGGGTGGTGGTGGTGCTGGGCTGGGGCTGGGACGGCACAGCCTGTCCAATACGTGTTGCAACAAAAAACAGACGACATTAGGGGAGGAGGAGGAGGAGGGGGAGACAGGACGGACTCACCCAGCATCCTGATGACGCGCGCCTGCGAGTGCGTGCTGCTGGCGCTGCTGGCGCGCACCGACCCCGTGGAGCCGGCCGAGTGCCTGCGCGCGGCCAGGGCCCGCCGCGAGCGCCGCAGCCGCAGCCCGATGAGGATGTACAGGACGGTGATGACGAGCAGCGGCGCGACGAACACCAGCCCCGTCGACAGGAGGAACGCGTGGCTCACCAGCACCTGGAAATAAAACGAACGCGCGTGTGTGTGAGAGAAGGGCCGGCCGGGACGCGCGGCAGGCGTACGTGTGTGGGACGAGACGCCGGCAGAGATAAAGTTTTCGCACCTTACGCCCGAGGATGCGCACGGATTTTCGCGGCAAGGGCTCTTGCTTACACGAGGGTCGTTTGTCTTGCGCACGAGTGCGGGACGCACCGCGCGTGCTGAGGCCCCGCGCCTGCTCTCCCCCCCCCCCCCCCCGTCATCCTGGCCCTGAGCCCGCGCGCAACGCCGACCGCCCTCATCCGTAAAAGGAATTCTGAATCGCAATTTAACTTGGGTGTCCCCGGTTTGTGGCGCGCCGCCGGCGCGGCTTGGCTTTTTCGCTTCCGGCTCCCGCGCGCGCGAGATCCAAACTTTATCTCCGCACATCTTTTTTTTTCTCTCTCTCCCCTTACACCCTCTCCGCTACCCCTCCTCCTCCCGGACACGCGACCGCCAACCAAACCCGATGGAGACTGCGTCGTCGGATCAGCGGCGCTGTTTCTCTTCAACGAGGATTTGCCGCAGGGGATGGCGTTAGCACACGGAAACAATTTACCAGCAGACGGACGAGCTGCCGGCGCGGCGCTGCACGCGTGGACGACATTGCCATTGCTTTTTTCCCTCGTTTATTTGTTGTTTTTTTCCCACTCCATCTCTCGCTCTCCGACTCTCTCTCTCTCTCCGTGTCCCTCTCTTTTAAACCTTTAGTTCCTCTCTCGTCTGCTTGCGGACTGGAACCAGAGCTGCTCGACGCGTTTGCCGCTCGCACCACCCGCACCCCGTTTCCGCTTCGGTGGAGCAGCACGGGGGGTCAGACCTTTGGGTCAGACCCGCCGCGGGTCGGGTCGGGTCGGACGCGTCCAGGAGAGACGTCCGGTCTGGCGGTCAACACGGTGGCGCGCGGTGGACACCGTTTGGGTCCGCGCCGACAGCCCCACCCGGAGGGGTGGTTTTAATTATAGTTCCGGTGAAGGCCGCTAGGCGCCGCTAGCAGCAATTAACGTGGCGCAGCCCGAGCTGCCAGCCAGAGCCGCCGAGCCGGAGAGTGTCCTAATTCCCCCCGGGTCTGGTCTGCGGACCGGCGGAGTGAGCTCAGCGAGGCTCAGCGCTCAGCGCCGGCAGCACCAGTGCAACGGCCCGCCACGCCCCGCCACTCTACGCTACGCCACGCCCCACGCCCCGCTCCGCCACGCATCACCACGCCCCGCCACGCTCCGCCACACACCTCCACGCCACGCCCCGCCGCACTCACCCGCTTCACGGTGCACTCCGACATGTCCCTCCCGAGGGAGTCCCTCTTCTCGACGACGCCGAACTGCGTGGCGGGCGGCACGGCCAGCACGAGCGCCAGGGCCCAGGACGCCAGCACGCAGCGCACCGCCCTGGGCGGCGACGACATGGCGCGCGCGCGGAACGGACGGCAGATGGCCACGTAGCGCTCCATCGTGAAGGCGGTGATGGTGAGCACCGTCGCGTTCGCCGACGTCTCGGCGGCGAATCTGAGAACAGGATAAAGGACAAAAATCAATTTCAGAATGGCAAGTGAGATGCATAACACACAATTAATCTTGTATCTGACCCCTTTTTCTGACTTTAATAATTATCTCCCTGATTGCGCTGGGATCATCCAGAAAGTTCGGCCAATGCAAGGTCTTATACGCCAAAATAAGCAGGTACATGAACAAAGTTCATTTTCTTGTCAAGTGCATGCACTCGAATAAATTGAGTGCATGTACTTGTTCCAGAAAATGCACTTCATTGAAGTAACTGATGTGTTGTGTGAAGCGCCTGATAGGTAGGCAACATCTTGCCATCAGCGCATGCGTGTACTGCGGGGAGGCCTATCCCGAGTATCGCAGGCGTCGAGCGC